GGAACGAAGCCGGAGTTCAAACAGCACATGGCGAGATCAAAAAATTCCCGGGGCCGGAATGCGGCCCCCAGATCCGACGCCGGGCTTTTCCTTCATTATTCGGGGCYGTTACAGGGAGATTTTACGGGGTGTTTATTTTCGGATCCGGCCATGTGGCGGGAAGGGATTCCAGACCGGCACAGCAGGGTGGATTTCCGTAAAGGGATTTATAGGGGGGGCCTCGGCTTTTTCCGAGCGGGGTAATTGGATGTCGTACACCCTTGTAGTTGGGATTTGTGGGATATGAAGCGTGAAATGGGCCCGGCTGGGATCCTGTCAATCACCGGGATTGCTCAGGGAGGCCTTTCCTCATGGAAAAGGCGGTCAGGCCTTGGAAGTTTGGGATTTGCCCAGGCAGGTTTGGGATCTCCATCCCTGAAGGTGTCCAAGGAATTCCTGGATGTGGCACTCAGGGACAATATGGGAATCGGGCACAGCTCGGACTCAATGATCCCAAAGTTTTTTCAACCTCAGGGATCCCGGGACTCTGGGAGAAGAATTCTCCACTAGGACTTTTAGACAAAAAATGCAAAATTCAATTGAATTTAAATAAAATAAATTTAAAAAACAGGATTAGATGCCACAGGGAATGACCGCCTCCCATCCCTGGGAACATCCCATATCCCAGGGCAGCCATTCCTGGCAGGAATACGGCTGGATCCGGAGCATTCCCTGCCCACCTGCTCAATGTCTGGCTGGAGAGGGCTGTAGAGCCACCGCGTCTCCATGTGCTCTGGGGCCAATCCCATTTCCACCCAGAATTCCCAATTGGACGCAGAAATTCCATCTGGGACYGCTCACCTTCTTGGCCACGTGGCACATCTGCTCCGCCGGGAGGTAWTCGAAGGGGAAGACGAATCTCCAGTTGAAATTCCCTTCTCCCCCCATGGATCGGTAGTGGACGTCCGTCTTCTGCTTGTTCTCCTCGTGCCCCACCAGCCACCTGCCAGGGAAAAAGGGAGCCTGTGGAAAACTGGGATCATGGCCAGGATTTGGGATCGTGCCCAGCGCCACGACGAGTGGGAAATGGAATGTTCCAGATCCCTGGGGTTGTGGGGGTTGGGATAATGTGGAGATGGGAATACGGCAATCCTGGTGTTAGGAGATGAATCAGAGCTGGGGGTGGCAATTCCAGAATTGTGGGATCTTGGAATGGTTTGGGGTGGGAAGATTTTAAGGACCATCTCATTCCAACCACATTCCATGGGCTAGGAAAATTCCCATAATTCC